ATTTTATGAAATGGTAACCAACAAAAAGACGGCCATTTTCATTAAAAACGTGAAAAAAATACATGAAATTGAAATTACAGCTGTACTCTTTATTTGAAGGGAAAACTGAAAATATGTTCAATTCAAAATGCTTGATAAACTTCCTCTACATGAAAAATCAGGTCGGTACTGACATTTTCATGTGCGATGACACCTAAACAATGTCAAATATTAGTCAATTTTGTAAAGGTGTATTATCTTTGAGTTTTATCCTAGATTGTCAAGAAATTTTACACAAAATAAATCGTGTGAATAAGTGACAGTTTACTTTTTACAAATAAGGACCTCTTTCCTTACGTCTGAAAAGTCCTTCTGTGTAATTTGATTCACCTTTGGTTTCCTTTTTCTGACACTGGTGTATTAGTAAACCAAATTACATAACCCATAGTCCCATACCAGACTAGTACAACAAAACACAAGGTCGTGAATCCTGTGTTACACCTAGTTACGTTGTCTACTTACTAGTACGGACACTGTACTTGCACTGTAATCATAACCAATGAAGAGCCAATGAAGCTTGTTAAAACCCTGAAAGAACTAGAAGTACGATGAAATAAAAAATAATAATAATAGATAATACAAGAAACAGTAAGGTTAATTCTAATGTATACATTCTGTAACAACATACACTGATTGTTTATAGTTACTACGGATAATTAGCGTACAGTGTAAGGAGGTGTTTGTCGTCTAGGGGAAATAAACAACTTCTCCAATGCTCATTCTGTAACACATACACTGTTTATATTTACTACTTCAGTGTAATACATGTAAGCTATACGATGTGTTACGTACTGAATTTTATATCAAATAGACTTGGAAGGTATTATATATTATACACGTGGTTATTGTAGCTGGTATGATTATGGTCCTGGTGTCGTCTCTCCCCAATCTTTTGTGTAACGTCATCATTCTAGAACACTAAACTCGAAGCAGGTGTAGTGGTCCCTGCCTTACTCATTAACCCACATGTGACGTTTTGGTCTTTAGTCTTCTTGTTGAAACAATCACTGACAATATCGACTTTACTTCTAACAAACGTTGCTGTCAATCTACCAGTCTATCATATTTTTAACAAGATATTTTTGACTTATTATCACTATTAGTTTATAGTACATTCCTGACTAATGTTGTAAACAAAGTTCATATACGTTTTACTATACATTGATAAAAAACAGTATTTTGTATTATTGAAGTTCAGTTATGCAATTAGTCACATGTATTGAAAAATACTTTATTAAAAATCTGTATTGCAGTAAAGTGGAGTTGACCTCGAGAACAAAAATATTCTGAACGTAATTGTATGGTGAAAATGTAAAAGAAGTGTAGCGTTCTCACCAGCCTTTGATTAATTTTGACATTTCTACCAAATATAATGACACAATTCTTCAACTAATAAAGAACAGAATCGTAAGGTAGTATATACATGACACACTGAAAATTGCAGCACATACATTTACACACTAATGAAAATACTAGAAGCTTATATTTGCACTTATGTTAGTTATAGCCATTTTATACAACTGTACATTACATAAAACGTCTAATTACAGCAAATGACTACGTCTTTATGACATATTTTTTTACACATTTGGCATGCTGAAAACACTTCCAGTGAAAATATTAGTTTCAGTAATTTTCTGGATTTATTAGTGTGATGTTCCATGTATGTTATCTTGTTCGATTGATGACATCTACACAGGAATATAGATCTATTAACAGATAATTCATTTATTTATGTAAACTACACAACTTCTGAAACCATTCTGTGTGACAGAACTATATCGGTATTTCTTCTTGTCCTGTTTCCATAACAAAAACGTTTTCTAATACCTGGTAATGAATTAAACAAGTACAGCATGTTACTCAGACGTAAAATCATCTCTAAGTACACGCCTTAGGAAGTTGAAACCACAAGAAATTCATTCCATAATATTTGTTATTGTCATAAAAAAGTAACATATTTTGTAAACCATAATATTCTTACCTGGGGAAAAAAGAATAAATATTTTTATCAGTTTACTTGAATTTTCTTAAGTCTACACATGATTGTAGATCTATTCACAAACAATTATTCTATTTATGTAAATTATATAACTCCTAAAATCGTTCTTTATGACAAAAGCAAATTTTTATAAATTTTTTCTCCCCCATATCTTCTGGTGGTACTTTTCCCTTTTGAATTGTTTGTCGGGTATATTGTAGGTCTCGTATCTCCATTTTACGTGAAAGACGGGGTTCCACCAGTTTCGAAAGAAGGCAATTCCGGGGGAAAACGGTCAAAGAAAGAAGTATAAAAACAGAAATCTAAATGTATTCAGTAGTATTTTTTCCATGTGTATGCCGTAAGTTGTCCATATGACAAATTCACAGAATTCAAGTTGTGTTATGATTTTGAATTTGGTAAAAATAATTGTGAGTTCTTTTCTGTTGGATATCTGTGACTGAAATGGTAAGTACAGAGCAAAACTGTTTCAAGCTTTTAGCAGCTTCAAGTGGAGTGTAATGTTCAGCTGTTTTGGGACTTTCACTTTCAGTATTTCGTAATAGTCCATCTGGTGATGCACTGAGAAACTGAGATCGACAAAAAAAATCGCATCGTTGAGCTAGTACTCCTGTTTCATGTTCATACTCTTTTATGACCAGGTCTTCCTGGTTCTGATAATACTGAGTGGCCTCTGTCATGAAAGCAGGAGAATAAAGTAATGATTTTAATGTGTTTTTGCAGGAAGTTGTTTCCCCCATTTTGTTTGTAATGAATTTCGCGCAAAGCTACACGAAGGCTATCTGTGCTAGCCGTCCCTAATTTAGCAGTGTAAGACTAGAGGGAAGGCAGCTAGTCATCACCACCCACCGCCAACTCTTGGGCTACTCTTTTAACAACGACTAATTGGATTGACCGTCACATTATAACATCCCCACGGCGGAAAGGGGAGCATGTTTGATAGGACGAGGATTCGAATCCTGAACTTCAAATTGCTAGTCGAGCGTCCTAACCACTTGGCCATGCCAGGCCTTCACTCATTTTACAAATGCCGTAATTCATTTGTTTCTTGCCAAAATCCATAATTAATTTTCAGTCTGACCACGTGTACTCTGCTCTAACCCATTTCGTCTTTCTTCAGTTACTTATAGTTTTATCCAAAAATCCCTGCCTAGCTCTTTTGAACTCTTCATCATTCAAATCTGGTTGTAAGGAGTAATGTTCGTCTCCTCCAGACTTCGACTTTTCTTCAGTTTTTCTCAGATGCCTTCTTTCTTTACACATGAGTAGTGGTTATTTTTTCGTTTTTTTTTTTTGTTCGTCGTTCGACATATTTTTTCACAATAGAAGAAGAACTTTTTAACGTTATATGTTTCAACACTTTCTGGTTCCACTCTGGTACATACTGATACGATAACCCGGCTCCTTGACAGCGATGATGATAAGAGCCAAATTGAGATCGGTTGAACTGCTGTTCGCCCGAAAGCTTAACAACCAAATGCATGTGACTTTCGACATAGTTGGTAGTGTTTTCTTATCTGCTTCCCTGACTAAGTAATCTACAGCATCCATAGCCTTTGCGTAAGTGAGACGGGGAAATTGTAAGCCGGTACTAAGTCCTGAAGAACCGGCATTGTCGCAAAATGTTGGTTAGCATTTTGTATGGTCACCAAACATATGGTAAGGGTCGTTTCTCAGCTGCTGTCTCATCTGTTCAGGTGTATTCCCTTTCTTTGCATTTTTTCTGGTGGTTCCTTTAGCACAGTTCTTGAGTCTTTCTATCCTGGGCTTGCTTAGAAATCGCTAATTTTCGGTATTAGATTTTGAAATTTCGTAAGGCGCTTCGGTGTAGCATTTAACTGCATCATTAGCGCAATCCACTTTCTCTACCTGCCTACTATAACTTCCCTTCTCTATTATTGTTTTATACACGCTCGAGTCTCGATCTGCTATTATTTTTCGATACCGTAGACCATGCATGTCTTCACTGTATCGAAATCCTTCCACTATAACGTCAGGCTCCATTTGTTTGGAAGAGTCATTCCGGTTTTTCCAACAATAATGCCCTCTAGTGATGGCTGTTGATTTATTTCGTGATTTATTTCTACAGAACTTGTTTCTCAAATCCATATATAACAGTTTTATGTACGGAAACCAGTTATAGCAGCACAACCAGATTTTGCAGTGTATTTGTGCCAGTAACTGCATTGGGACCAGCCACCATCAGCGTAAACAGTAATAAATGTTTTGTCTTCACTATCTGTATCTTCTGCTTCTATTGCTAGTTCTTTTTCTTTACCTCTAGCAGCCCACCAGTGGCACAGCGGTATATGTGCGGACTTATACTACTAGAAACCTGGTTTCGATACCCGTGGGGGTCAGAACACAGATAGCCCTTTGTGCTTGATAATAAACACCACCAATAAACATCGCTCCAGCATTCTTTATTGTTTGAAACATTTGCTTTCCCCACAACTGAAACAAACAAATATAAAATTAGATGTGATTTTTCTTATGATTTTATGATATTGCTGTCTGTTTATATTTGCTTAATATTGTTGACTTGAATCTGCTTAAATGTGATATTATTCGGGGAAATAGTTCGTATAAAATCATGAATAAATATAATATGAACAATGTTTCATAGAAAGGAACTATAGAATTTCAATATACTATTAACCACTTTCTGTATATCGGATCATACGTAAACATTACTTAAAATACCTTTTCAATTTTCTATTCACGTCTGATGAACCTGTTCAGAGACATGAACGGAACTCCTAGCATTGAGAAACTTCCATCCAATTGAGCATGTCCTCGACCACAACTGATAACACCCCAAACTACTGAATCGTTTACGTTTAATTGATAAATATCTTCCAAATCCACATGTTCTCTTGCTCTGATGTCATTTTAACACTTTGTTTAGTACTGGCGGCAACATGTGCGCTACAAGTAGGAGGAGGTGTGCACCCACTTATTTAGGAGTCAAACCTTGGAAAAGGTAACCGAAATCAATTAGCTCATATTCGCTATTGTTACACGTTACTAAGTATCCCACTAGATAATGAATATTCACTTTGGCTGAAAGCTTGCAGTGGGTAATAGTAAATAAATATTTTTATTAGATTAAATTAAATTTAAGTACAACGTTTCAGTCACGCGATAATTAATGTTAATTCGATAATACTATAACCATCGGATACAAAATTTAAAGTAACAATATTTTACGTAGTTCGACAATATCGCCATCTATTGGTTAATATATTTTCCTTGCCGTTTTCACAACTCTTCAATGCCGATTGGAAGAAATAAAATAGGTTTCGTATAATAGTTGAATTTCATTAAGGAATTTGTCTGATTTATTCTCCAGTAATGTTATCCTAACTATGTCACATGTTATCGAAATACTTAAAGTATTTTACGTTATCAATTAACACGCTTTACTGTGTTCTTTTTGTTGTTTATTTGGCTACACGAATCATCCAAAAGCTACGCCATTTAAAATTTAATTCTATATGAGTGGTATTATAATTTAAAGAAACGACATGTAATAAAAAACTATTACACTTTAGTTCAAAACTTAAGACAAAATATCTAAGACAAGGATTTCAATATCAGTTGGATTAAAGTAGGTTCCAAATTAATTTTCTGTAAAAATATGTGCCACTTTGAAAATTTAATTTTATTACTGGTCAAGTGTACCAGAAAAAAAGCCCTTTCTGCCATTACTCCTGATGAAGGAAGTACACTTTCCAAAAGCACTCTGGTTATTGGATTTCTGATGCTTTCTAAAATGGTCAAATATATTGGTATTATGTAAATAAACTGAATACATTTAGATTTCTGTTTTTATGATAATGAGAAGTTTTAGTCACACTCAAAGTTTGATAAATCTAGCTTGATATGGCATCACAGAAAAATAGTCTCACAAACTTCAGTTTAATAAAACGTTTGTCATGACAGCAGAGAATCTTACTAAGTAGGTAAAAACTCAACTGAGATGCTGTCATAACAGGTATTTGGAATAAGAGTTTTTGTGAAGATCTGTTATATTATTTGAAAATACAGAAAATTAGGAAGAACAACTAAATTTTCATTGTTTAATCAGAATAACTCTTTCCAGACAAAAGCTGAATCACATGGTGTTGCTTAATCCATGTATTAAAAGAATTACAAAATATTAAAACCCTAAAGAGCTATTTTTATGAATATTTTTGTATCTTCCAAACTCATGGTAGTTATTCACTTAATATTTTAACTTTTTCCTTACTGGGTAGTCAATATCTAGATAATATTTCAGAATGTCACTAGAATAACAGGCTTATCATCTTATCTCTCAGAAAAGTATCTACTAAAATTCTGAGATACAGAGTAAATAAGAAAAAATATAATGACTTTTATGACTTCTTTTTTTTTCTTTACACAAGCACAAAATATGTAAGAAAGTAATATCAGGATCTCAGAACAAACTGCTGTCAGTTATGATCAACTGTGGTTATACATTTTTCTTTTAATGCATTACCTATTTATTTTAAGTATGCCATGATATAAGTTGACTAAATGTGATTCAAAATGAGGCATATATAAATAAAGGAAATACATAAAAAATGTAAAAAGTATGACTAACTAGGTTTTATCATTGCAATCCATTAGGAAACAAGATGAAGATTTAAAAAATATCTTAACATTCTTTTCACTAAAATTATAATTATCCTTTGCAAGTTTTTGTTACTTTATGCTTGAATTCAACCTTCCCTAGCTTTTCATCCTCTAGAAACAGAGTTGGTATTCAAAGCACACTCCTATACAAACATAACATTTAACATTCAAAGAAATATATGAATACCACTGAAATGAAAATGAATACTTTTAGCATATGCAATTAAACATACACAATTGAAAACTTGGGAAAATAAAGGTTAAGACTCAAAATGGAAAATACCGATAAGAATCACCTATTTGGTAACAATATTTTAAAATAATCTTTTGTCATATTTGTATCCCCTACACTATTCATGTATCAATGCAGTAAGATCGAGAGGTTTTAACTCATAATGAGTGGTTTTATCCAATGTTTAAAATTGTTTACCAGACTTGATGAACTTAGGTGATTAGTGGAAAACCTTGTTGACAGTGGTTTACAATAAACAGAAGAAAGATAGTTGGAATATTATTTGTGTGCTTTTATTTATGAGTATTAAGAACTCTGTGCTATAAAGTATTCACAATGTAAATGTACTTTGATATTATCATTATGAGATAGCAGATGTAAAACTGAACTTTTTCATAATAGATTTAGCATCTTAGGTAAACTAAATTTCTTTGGAATAAAATGCATATCAATTCACCAAATAGGAAAACTGAAGATGATGGTGAATTCAGTCTTTTTTTCATTCAATATGATACTCCTTAAATGAAATTCCTCTTGTTCATTAATAACTAATTTACAGACTAAGTAAAATTTGACTTGAAACACTTTTGCATTAAAATGAAAATATTTAAGTAGTGGATGTTAAATATGAAGAAATTGATGCTTTAATTTGTGTGTACATCTGAAATAGCAAGAACTCAGAAGTAGAAACTAAACTTTAATTTCAAACATATAGCAAATTAAACTTCTCAAATTATTTTTATATTTTACTTGTAATGTTTCTCAGCCTCTACTTATGTCAGTAAGTTTATAAAAACAGTTATTGTAAAATTTGTTTTTGAAATTATTAATGTATGCTTAGTTATATTGACATTTGATTATTATTTTCTCAAACTAATGATTTTTCATTATTGTATTGCACCATAGCAAAAAATAACATAAAAATATGCATCACTAGATCTCTGGATAACGTATTTATTGTATGTTAATACACTTATAACATGTTCTGAATAATTTTATCATCAGTTTCCACACATTTTTAAAGCAATATTCATACTCTAATAAAGCCCTTGTTACTTATAATTTATTTTTTACAAAAATCAAACAAATTACTTTTAATAGAAATTTCTATGATTTAGGTGTGATAAACAGTAATAATCATCCTGTTATTTCTCAGTTGGACTGCATTTGCAATGTAAGCTTATGTACTATAACATGCATACAATTTTGTGGAGTTTATACTTGGCCTTGCTGAAACTGCTACATTGCATATATGGTGGACTGTTGGTGTTAAAGAAAAATAAAATTTCAATAAAAATAAGACAAAGCAACAGTATGATAATTTTTTTTCTCCATTTCAAGATACTTTCTTTTGTTTTTTTCCTGTGAGGAAATGTACTTCATTAGATGAAGTGCAGAGAAAAGCTCCAAAACTTGAGAGCAGTTACTTTAAATAATTATTTAATTAAGTTAATGTTTTTCAAAAATGTCTTCTCCTCTTCATGTTTTAAAATGTTTAAATAGCAACAACAAATTAAAACAAAAACAAATTAACATATTAAATATTCTTTAAGGTAGTTAACTTTTTCTGGTTTAAAAACGTGCATCTGTGTAATTTTCTTGATGTTAAAATGTAGAAGAATATGATAAATCTTAATAACTGCAATGTTCTGTTCTGTTTGTTAACTGTAACTTAGTGTAAGGGAACAGCATCTCCCATGTCAACAATATATTGGACTTGTGAACGCATTATCAGCTTATTTTCAATTATATCCTCTAACCATTTTTCACAAAACAAAGTTTCTTTTCGATGTATCAATCGACAGCCCTCCAAAGTATAAAACAAATCCATTGGATAGTTTTCGGACTGAAATTTCAAACCTACTTGTGTAACATAAACAGCCGCAGTAGTCATAGGAATGGGATTTTCTGGGGTTGGAAGACTCCATTGTACTGAGTAATGAAACTTTGTTGAAAGATCTTCTTCAGACTTTCTTAAAAATCTTATAAAATACATCCATTTCGAGGATACATTCCATTTTCTAATGAGATGATGAATCATTTCTTCACCTCTCAAGACCGGGCTAGTTGGGTCATCCTCAATATTCAACTTACACTCTAACTCTAAGCCTAAAGTCGTTGAGAAGCAATCACATTTTTCGTGGTCTTCATATTTCGGAATTCCACCTGTCAACCACTCCTTCCACTGTAAAAGCGTTAAAATTCTATCCAAAACTTTCTGCACTATTCTGTTACAAGTTCCATCAAAATGCACCTTATCATTATGAATGACTTCCAACTTACCTGGATATTTATTGGTCATGTTTCCTTTACCAGAATTTTGATTACAAGTCGCCACGTTTATGTAATTACAAATTACAGCGTCATCTTCAGACAAATAACTTACGATACACCTCGAACATCATAACTTAAAAATTTGATTTAAAAAAAGAAGCTAAAATGTAATTATTATTCTTGAACTGGTTATACTTAATGCAGTATTTATTTTTAACTACGCATAACATTCTCTAATTTTGAACTTGACTGAAGGCAATTAATCAACAACATCCACCGCAAACTCTTTGTCTGATGGAAAAGTAGAGTTTACTCTTACTCTTATAGTGCACCCACGCAAAATGGATGCAAATCCTAACATTCACAGTCCTGGAACGTTAAATACTAGGATAAGTTGCTCTTCTACTAACACGTTTCTAGTGAATAATAATTCTAAATAAGTATGAAAAAATACAAATGTATTCCCTTACCTACATGCGTGTAAGTTAACTGATAAATTTAGCATAGTGTATGTCATTGAACTTCTTTTCGAAATTTTAATTTCAATAAATAACTTAGAGTTTGCGTATAATGTTATGAAAAGGTGTTGTATTTCTACGTAATAGTGTAAAAAGACACATTTTATTTTAAAAAGTACAGTACTTTACTAACTACGACTAAAAACTGAGTTTCGATATTCCTGGCGGACACTGCACAGATAGCCCATTGCATAGTTCTGCGCTTAATATCAAGCAAACTATCCGTTACAGGTATGTCTGATAAGATTAATTTTATGTTTACAGTGGTAGTGTAGCGCACTATAAAAGTCCAAATGTAAAATTTGATTTGCTTCGCAATAAACACAACAGTACAATAAAATTAAACATTTTCATATTTATTTTGTACTTAACAGTGTTAAACTATCCAACAACGAGAAAGAACGTTAACTACACATGTATATTATTACAGATGGTTAGCTCGTCACACGAGTAAAATATTTTTTTCTGGCCCGCGGTACCCCCTACCTGTAAATTTAGAATGTTCAAGTATGTTTGGATTAAATAGTAATTTCTGGAATAGGGATTTATTGGTTGTTATTTGATTATATAACTCGAAGTTAAATTTAGATAACCCTTATGAATTAGCAAATTATTGTTTAGTGTACGCTATTAAGATTCATCAAATCACAAAATCAGTATTAGCTCTATGCTATGATTATAGAGATTATATTTTTATTCGTATCATTACAGTGTTGGAATAATTTAGTTTTCAATATCCAACTTTCCACAAATTGTTGCGTTGGATTTAGAAACTAAATAGGATTTTATTAAACTTCAAAATAGTAAAAAATATTATGCTAACTCTAACCTTTCACCAATCAACAACATAAAAAAATTGTTTCACTCCATATTATGCTAGAAACGGCCAATGAAATTACTAGCCTTTTTAGTAATTTCAACATTGATGTAAGAACTGTATTCAAACCTTTACATAAGATTAACACCTTACTACCTAACCCGAAAGAATCCCCACTAAAGGAACAAACAAAAGGCAAAAATAGTATCCCATGTGAATGTGGAAAGAAATACATAGGACTAACGTTACGTTCCTTAGAAATAGGAAGCTTGTTTGTTTGTTAGTTTTGAATTTCGCGCAAAGCTATACGAGGGCTATCTTCGCTAGCCGTCCCTAATTTAGCAGTGTAACGCTAACTCTTGGGCTAAAATTTTACCAACGAACAGTGGGATTGACCGTAACATTATAACGCCCCCACGTCTAGCAGGGCGGGTATGTTTGGTGGCACGGGGATTCAAACCCGCAGATTGCGAGTCGAGCGCCCTAACCATCTGGCCATGCCGGACCAGAAATAGAACGCAAAGAACACCAAGGTCACATGTGTAGAGGTCAATTTCAGATATATGCTTTAACATATCAATTTAAAATAGGTCACAAAATACTTTGTGATGAAATTCTTCTCCCACACCAAACTAAAGCTAAAAAAGAAAAATATACTTTAGAAACTATAGGAATCATCATTGCAAACGATCTCTTTCTAAAGCGTGATTATGGCCCTAACAAAATCAGCCGTATTGGGCAATGTCTATTCATCGCCCATACACTTGGTCAGACATGACCTTTACCTATAATACTCTCACATACTGACATAATTTCCGTCATATTTAATCCTTTTAACTTTTGTCTTTGAAACTATATATAAACCCTGTATTGCTTTGCACATATCATACAGCGCTTGACCAGTAAAAGTGGGTTTTCTCGGCTTTTTCTTGTTTCCTCTCTTGGAACTGGCTTGCCTCGTCACGAGTCTTGGCCCGTCCAGCAATCTTCACCTGCTCCATCTCCTTTTTCGCAACTCTCCAGCTCGGAAGACCACTTTCAACAATCAACAACTTTTCATCATTTCTCCATACTTTCGAGTACACCCATCCGCACCACAAATCAACCCTTCGTTAGGGGGGTGAAGATAGGCTGAAAGTTTCTGAGCATCCCCGGTTGTCTTCTCCTTTCTGGAAAAGTTTACAAGCCGAAATTACTGTCAAGATTCAATTCGATAGTACAGGTCATACCATTTGATATTTTCTCGAGCTGAGACGATGTCAACGCCACTAGTCATCATCGACAGTCCACCTAACGACTTTTCTCCCCGAGAAATTGGGGACTTTAGTTTAATAAAACAAATTTCACAGGGGGCGAGCGAAGGAGAATAAACATATTCTCAAACCTCTCCTTTAAACTAAACACCTTCCACGATTGAAATAAAAAGAGTAGACCAATTTATTACCACTGAATAGATACATCAAGCTCTAGAAAAAGATACCAAAATACGTGCAGTTTACCGGATCATCTGAAGGAAAACAAGAAATTCGTCACACTTCATGAAAGTTGTCACCACCTCGAAACAAACAGTAAATACATTCATTCCCACTGGTGCTTTTTCTATTCATTTCACTTCGAAGCTGAAAGGCCTCTTCGAAAACCACATCTACCAATAACCAGCCCAAGTAAGTCTGCTACCAACGACACATAATACTCTCTAACGAACAAGAAACACAAGACACAGAAACATTACACGAAAATTCAGAAACACTAGATCGCACACTCAAAATCGCCCATTCACAAAGGAATTCAAGCACACATTCACTCCAAACCGGCATGACCTGGTAGATTAACTGGTCACACAAGTGTCTTTGACCTTCCGTCTTCCAGCCATCAATCTACCTACAAAATGCGCAACACGTTATCCTTTTTTCCCAATATCTTTCCACCAGTAACGAAAACCCGATTGATAGAACCCCCTTAAACCTAAATCCACCATTCTGCCTTTCCCTCAAGAAGGAAACCTTCCTGCACTAGTTAAATAATGCTGACAATCCCACGTACGTTCAGTAATCCTTCCTCCCTTTCTATCTTCAAGACACCTTTTTATTTTCTGGTTTCTTCGGGCACTGGTCAGGTAGAACACTGTGCCTCATCAGTGAAAGTGAGTTTTCTTGGGGTAACCCCCCCCCCCCAACACACACACACAAACAGACAGGCTGTTGTATAACGAGAAGAAGACGACCGCTATCTGGAGGCATTCACTCCAACAAGCGACACCAACCTTTTCCAGTTTACCACACTCAACCTTCACAAAGCCAAGTTCAACTTCTGTCCAAAATCTATGAACTCACAAGTATAACCATACTCTTCTCCCATGTGCAGGTCGAAGAGAAATAGGATATTTCTGACCAGCCCGGTTGTCTCCTGAAGTTCCCAGCAAACTCCGAGCGATTTTCTACATAAATATCTGCCAAGATTTTTATTTTTTGTACAGATCATACCTGAAAAAAACAGAGTATGTTCTGTTGTAACATGTAGTATGTTCCACCATTAATAAAACTCCTTATGCTTATAAATCATTGTTTGCCTATTATTATTATTATATTGGCATAACCTGCTTCCTTACTCAAGTAACTAGCAATTTGTTATCAATAATTTCTTCAACTTTTAACTTAACTTCATAAGGTATCACTGCCTTTAACGTGTACTATTATTTTCTTCAATCTTGGTAAGTGAAATTATTTTAAAATTAAATTGATTTATTTTGATCTACTCCTTTGGATTATTTCAGTTTTAGGGGTCTATATCTTCTAACACTTAACTACAATGATTCCATGTAGGGTATATACTTGTCAAAAGGTTAGATAAAGGATATTTTAAATATATGAAGTGATACTTTCTCATTATGTTTTAATAAAAAATAGGAAAACCAAATCCTTCTAACAATAATTTTTGAACCAGCAGTTAAAAATGAAAATGCCTGTTTATGTTCTGCATTGCAGCCAAATATTTTGTTTGAATGAATACAGTTGTACAAACTCAATACATGCCAATATACATACACTTTATTGTTTCATTTTTTATTTCAAATATTCACATTCATAAGTCATTTTACACAAAGAAAAATAAAATTATACATTTGTTTTAGGGGGCTTAATACACAGAAAGATATGCTAATTCTTTCTTTTTCTCACTCACACACATACATATAACCATAAAAGCACATGGTAACAAAGTATCCTTCCCATGACATACATTTGGTAAGCTTCTTAAAGTAGTATTACTTGAACCTGAGAGAAAATTTACAATTGAAAAAGAAAAGTTATTTGATTTACAGACAAGTAATTTAAATAATAGCAGTAACCTATAAAAACACCAAAAACATATTCTCTTCTCCATTTTCTTTACAAAACACACAAGTGTGGAGCATTTCGGAAAAATGTTTATATCCACAAGAAAAATTAGGAAATATTAGATACCATTTTACAAATTTGGTAAACATTTATAATATACACAACAAATAAAAACATAGAGCTCTCTGTTGTTTCTGAGTAGACTTCAGATTAGGAAGTATTTTTAATAACCAAAACCAAATATTTAATGCCACAAAACTGATTAGAAACTTTGTATTGATTCCTTTTTTAAAAATTTCACTACGCCTAAAATGAATTTTTTTGATGCTTCTTCTAGCAATAGAATATGTGACAATCTTTATTTATTTAATGTTTTGCAAAAAAGTATGTTCATGGGTGTTGCCAGGATTTTCTTGTGAGGGTTCAGTTCCAGTTGCCTAAGCATAAATGTAGAATCGAATGATTTATCTGGGCAAGAATATGATTTGACAAAAGCATTTGCCTGTACAGAATTCATGCACATAGGGCATGACAGTGTGTGCAGAGGAGGCAAGAAATGCATGGAATAGAGCCTGTCCACTGTACATGTGATCAGCTTCAAAGCATGAAATGAAATGAACCATACTGCAGAACCAATCTCACAAGCACTTCATTTTGGTACTTTTCCAAGCTTATAGCTGGAACAGGAGCCAAAAACATGGCCATGTCAGTAATCTACAATGATAACACTCCATTCTACATGAAAAATCATGCCAAGGCCTCCTGTGCAGATACATTAACCAGTGAGACATGTTGGAGAGGACCAAGTTACAGTAGTTTCTATCCAAGCTACAACTATGTGTGAATATGGAAGGCATCATTCGCTTGGTTGAGATACAAGCGATGTAAATACATCTAAAGATGGAGCTCCAGGACCTAATGGTGTAAGAATCTTACAGAAGCCAACTTGCTAAGTTAGTGTTCAAGAATCAATGCAGCTGGGCAACAGGTATCATCACTGAAATACAGACTATGCCTTTAACATATCATTACCAAAACCCATGAAGATCCAATCTCATCTCAACCATCAAATCATTGTCCTACAAAAGATTACTGGCAAGAAACCCAGAGAAAACTGTAGCTAAAAGGCTTGCATATCAGAATGAATCACTACTGCCTTCATTATTTGGTGGTTGTCACAGTGGAAGAGCAACCTGGATCAATGCTGTTGAATTCATAACTGATACAATAGAAAAATTGAAACTGGTAAGAACACCATGACAGTAGCTTATCTATAAGATACCTACAATAGAGTCCAGCTGTCAACTCTTACCAACAAAATGATCAGAATGGACATCAGTGTAACAAATGTAGGGTGGGTCATAACTGCAATAACTATCAGAAGATGCATCATGAAGTATGGAAGCTAGAAATCAGACTGGATCACCATCAACACTTTTGCCAGTCCTCTTCAATATCTACCCCACAGACTAGCCAATGATGACAATCCAACCAGATGCTACATAAATATTCATTGATGATGTTCTAGTGTATAACAGAGGCTTTTAACAAAGCTGAAACCAAAAGCAAGATGCAACAACCTTTAGCAGCATAAGCAACTGTTTATTTGTGGTCGAAACTCCTCCTGGCAACACCCCTGAATTTTATGACTAATAGTTAGTTAGTTAATGAGAAAAACGTATATTCATCTATAAAAACAATTGCTGGACAAAGAATTTTATATTTTAAACAAAATGTCTATTTATTATGCTTTAGATAATAAAAAAAAGTAATTAATCATTATTGGAAGATTAAGTTGTCATAAATCAACAGACTGAAAAATATAAGTTCATGTATAATAATCCACACCTTAGCTATCTCTCTTTTAACCTATAAATAAAATTATACATTCAAAAACACATATTTTGTATCTGAATAATAGTTCTTATGTACAAACATATAAAACAAAATATTTAATGACTGACAAATAGTCTCATAATAATTACATCTATAAGTTTTGGGTGTTGGAGATAACTGGGTAGTTACCAAATCTTAAATCATAGTAAAACATTACATCATGTTATTTACTTTTATGATCTCTACTTTTCTAAATGTTTTTACAAAACAATAAATATTTCTCTCTTTCTGGTAAATTAATGTTAAAATGATCATTCATTTGTCAGCAGATGCTTTATTAACATTTTAATCAGTATATTAAACATTATATTATCTTTCTGAACTCTTTATGTCTGTGATGAAATTATCAAAACTATTTATAAATGTTTATTCTGATTACAAATACATTGAACACTAGAAGAGACAGCAAGCAGGAGAAAAAGTATCATACATGATACTATTGACTTCTGACATTAGCTTCAAATGTGACCCAATCTCTGTGAATTGTTGTTTATTATTACTACAATGTGTTCCACTCAACCAATTACCTGTAAGAGAAACAAACAAAACAAAATGAATAAAACCATACCTATAGAGATCTACATGTGTGCAAGTATGAACAAAGCATCCTAGCCTGTTCAACAAACAAGCCTTAGCTACTTTCAGTGTCCTTATGTAAACAAAGTTTACCCAATTAAATATTTAAAAAATTATAATATAAATACATCGAAAACATTCAATATCTGTAAAACTGAAGTTATCTATACTGTGTTACTTTTAATCGTATTTCTTAACCAATATAAAAGCTTACAATATTCATTTGTGGATTAACGCAGTTTATAAGAAGAATATTCTGTGCTGCCCATGAAAGTACTTCCTTCTTCTGATACTGTGCTCATATCGGATTACGCACTATTGCCCGACACCGATATTTCCATTTTAAAAAGCGTCTGCCAGAGTCGGCAAAGTCAATCTTATGAGCCACACCCCTTGTTAAACTTTCCACCTTTAAGCATACAATAGCCATGACTGCATCGGAGGACTTTACAGGTATATGGCTGAATACGATTACTGTAATTTCAGATTCGTCGGTCATATTTCTTATGAAAATTGCCGGTGGTTTCAAAGAGTAGCAGAAAGATACAGAACTTTTGACGTGAGCCTTTACTAACTTCAAAAACATGTTAAATATATTATTATGGTACAAGTAGTTATATTCGGCTTCACTGCATGGTATTTTGAGTCGAAGAGTTCACGTTTGAAACCACAGCGTTAACGCTGCGGATATCAGCGTTGTTTTAGCTTGGCTTTTAGGATGTAGCTAAGAAGCCTACTGCTGTCCTAAGAGCATTGTTGTACGAGTTTGTTTTTCTTTCACATTTACAGAAATATTGTGTCCTTTACATCTACACAGTTAATAATATATATGTAACATAAGCCTTCAGCAATAATCTATCCATTAGACATTGCACTGTCCTATGATCAGGTTTTCGATTTAAACCAAATATGTATGCTCTAAAAAAGTATTCGGTGGTATCACGGCTTGCATACGAGGGGCAACATGCCATTTCATTAATATTTGCAAATTACCGTTATACACAGTGATTAAACTCACATAATCCAGGCTGGGAAAAACCATGCTTACTAGATCGCTTGATGCTAAATCTAACTTGTTTTGTTTGGATGAAACAGGATGTAACATTTAGACGTTCAACGTATCCTCATCATTGGGTAATGAAATTAGTTCAAATTAAAACTAAATGAAGTTATATTTTCATAATATTTCAATAAAAAACCATTACATAACATAAGGCTGCAAAACAATTTGAAAACTACACATTTATGTTACTCGAGTTCAACCCAATGCCGACGATATTTGCCTCTAAATAACAGCACCAACTGAATAGAATAAATACTTATAAATAATCTATACATTCTAAAAAATGCTTACTTTATCATTCCTCCAACTTCCGGATCCATTTGAAGCGCCTCTAGGTGCTGAGCCTCTACCCTACGGTGTCCAGAACGCAAGGACTGAACTGACTTGCCAGAGCGTCTTGACCACCCAGACCCGGATTTCTGACTAGCGGTATACCGAAGACCCTGTGCAGACAGAGTTGCGGATTTTCTACGGCCCAAGGACGGACTTCCCGGCTCTTCGGCGATCCACGGGTGCTTCAATGCTTGAACAGCCGTCAGTCGTTGCTGAGGGTCACATAAGAGAAGAACGCGAACGAAATCTTTGGCTTTATCTGAAACCTCTTCCCAGACCTGTTAAGAAAACAAACATATCATGAAACAAATGTTTACCTAGCATTTCAAAACGTGAACGTGTATTTTAAAGTCGCAAATATAATATAATAGCCAATTCAACAATAATCGACATTAAACAACAAAGCTGAACAATAGCTATTTACATCCATCTATATAAATAAAGACAAAATGTGTTTTTTTTCAATATAATAAATATACTCTCTTATGGCGATATGCTATCTCCATTTTTATTAATTAAATTAAAGCATGGGAGTGCAACATACTCTAGAGGTTTTTATATATGGAAAACGAACTGACGTTCGGTGTCTCAACTTGTGTTTAAACTTTCGCGATTTTTTCATGTCCAAAGTCATATAATTACCCAATTATATTTTAACTGTACTTTGCTGATAATAATTTTGATATTTTTTTGTTTTTAAGAGCTTTAGCTATTTGACTGAATCTGGCTATTGGAGTTATCTAGTACACACATTTCCATACCATATAAAGAGCAGCAGATTAAAGCCGAATATTATCAAAATTCATTCAGTTGTATTGTAAAAGGTCAAATGTTTTACTTCATCTTTCTAGTTTTGGAAGCAACTGTAGGAATGATGTTTCTTTCATCGTGTATTATAGATTAGCCGAGTACCTGGTGTTGATCGGATGAAAATGGCTTTAACTATCGCGAGTTGTTTTGATTAAATGAACCTTATTAATAGTGATTTCTTGCAAAAAAAATAATTTTGATTACAAACAATAACAATGAGCGAAAAACTAATAATTTGCTAAAGCTATTTTAATCAAAAAGTACATTGTTCCTGCTTCTTGGATGTGCTTTGCATAACATATCAAGTTGTCAAAACAAAATTCCCTACATTTTGGTGTCCTGATTTCCGCTGTGTGATCAAGTGTCGTTTGCAATGTATTTTGACTTTATTGTCGTTCCATTTAATGAAGAATTGATTTACTCTCTCCTCGTTGCAACACAACGTAAATGAAAATTTGCCCATACCAAACGTTTTCGTAAAGTCATTGTATAGCTGATTCTTGCGATTACACGAGTACACGCAAGCAGAGCAAAAAAAATATGGCTGAAGCAAGCCTATTTAGTTGAGGAAGTGCGTGCATGTTCGAGAGAAAGCACCAGACTTTTTCAGTTAAGAAGAAAAAGAGAGAGAGGGAAAGATAACAAATGAAGGTTCCACGAAGTTTTTAAATCGTTTTAACACATAATTGATCACGGATAAAATGATTAGGAGAAGTCCTCACACAGAGAAGAAACGTAAATAATAGCCCTCTTGGTCACACGTTAAAAAAAAAATCCGACCTTTTCAATTGGAGACCAATTGGTCGTCTTGTTTGCCAAAAATTGGTATATTGGCATCTGAGATCGCGGACACATAGCCCGTTACTTCCCGCACAAAACTGTATCTGCACCCGGAGTTTGGAGATGTAGCCGTGCATAAGAACATACCCACAGAGAGAGTGAGAGAGACATTCGCTCTTATATATATGATGGTGATGATCTGGGTTAAGTATCACGTATAATATCCCTTAACATTAGCAGAAACCAATCCTCTTAATCAATAATACTTGACAAAACCCACTGAATAAGTTAATTCAAGTTTAACCGATTTCCTTTTGTAGTTTCAACGTCTATTTCCAAGGCTCGAATTTAGCAGTCAATACGGCCATTTGTGCCATCTACCGCTCAGAGCTTCAAGTGACCAGCTATAAACTTTCTGTAGCAAAGTCACATTTATCATGAGGTTGTGATAGTTTTTCTCAGAATCGGTCACGTGAAAATAAAACAATCATTATAACTGAGATCGTAGCAAACCTTTATGATAAAAGTTTAGAGTGCATATGAAATTGAAATTGGATTTATATTTAAAGACGCATAAGAAACCAACAGGCCTATATTTATTGTTATTAAAATACACTATGTTAGAACAACCCCAAGAAGTATCGTATACCACAAACAGACTCGCCTTTTTCGTAGAAGTTGAAACAACATTTTTTTGTGCTATTTAACATATGTGATTAGAGCTGACTAAAAAAAAATAACTACGAAAAAAACCTCCAGACAAATGGTCATTATATTCGAAGACACTTGTTATCTGTAGTAAATCAAAGCCCTGAACTAAATTTGACCTACATTTATGACTGTACTTTATGCTTTTGTGACAACACTAACAATTTTCCCATACTATGCATCAACGACGATACTGCTTCATGAACTTTCCAATAATTGACAGCAATACTGTTAATACAAAGATAATAAACTAACTAAATACAACATACATTGCGGAACACCTCACAATTTATCTGTTTAAAGGACAATGTTACAAAACAGTAAATTACTTTCAAATATGCTTCGTTTATATATATATATATATATGCATTTTCAGTGCATCAATATCTTAAAAAAAATAGATGTACATTGGTGAGAATACCAAGATGACGAAAATATCATCTAATTCAACAAAAACCTTCACCAAACTCATTTTTTTCGTTCCCAATTCCTTTTTAAATTTCGGGAGCTTCTTTAAGCGGAACTTCATGTTTGAGGCATATCAAAGAAGGAATTCATATCTGTTTATTTTCTTTGTTTGTAATTAAGCACAAAGCTACACAATGGGCTATCTGTGGTCTGCCCACCACGGGTATCAAATCCCGATTATAGTGTTGTAAGTCCGCAGACATACCGCTATGCCACTGGGGAGCGGGCTTATTTTCTTTCTTTGATGAGAAACTTCTAAATGACGTTTAATATACTTATTATATTTTTTTTATTTATTAATAAAGCTTTTCGAAATTTTTGAGTCCAACATGAATTTTAAGATCGAGTAGCTCAAGAAACACAAACAATGCATTAAGTCTTGACCATGCCACCGTTTTTTTATATTAAATACGTCAAGAATTTTTAATTTGGCAAAATAAAGATTACTACTTCATCAATTTGAAAAATTCTGACGTACGCCATGCTAACAGTGCAATGAAGTGTTTTTTGTTTTGTTTTTTTAACACGCAATGCATACCTCGGGGTGTCAAAATTTCCTGATATATTGTCAATTTCTGCGGAACGTTAACTGCGGAATTTCGACACTGAAATATGGTATTTAGTACTAAAATAGAACAGAGAAAAATATGTTCAAGGGTGTTTTTTTAGGCATAAATACTCGAAGTTGTATGATCGTTTGAAAATTGCAATTTCGACGACATTTTCCGGAAAAGGGCACCCCCTTTTCAAGGCCGTTTTTCTTTTTATTTTCTTGTTCTTTTGTTTTTCCCCTCGTTCTTTCATGAAAATAAATGACAATACATGCAAATAAATGACAATTCGTTTACGATTTTGTTGTTTTGGGGGATGAATACTTATGTTGACCTTCGAACAAGTACAGAATTCATAATGAAACACCTCCTTGGGCTCTTCCTTTAGCTGCCTGCCTTTCCTTCTTTTTCTGTTTGATTTGGCAGATCTTGCTTTTTATTTTCTTCTCATCAGTTAACTTTTTCATGGGGTTGCCTCCTTTATCATCTCATATCTTTCCAGGACCACTGCATAGCATGCCTTTGGTGCAATGTTTTCATTGATGTTATTTCAAAACACACCTGGAAACGGTATACGAGTTGAAAGTTGGCCATTTGCTGCAATTTTTTCTTTTGCAATGAAGGCGCTGATTGCCGAATCTCTATCTCAGATGGTAGACCCAATGCAGAGGGGTATTTCATTTTCAACTTATCAAGTATGCGACCAGAAACCGTTTTTCATCACTTACATTTCCATCATCATACATTTGCTTCACATCATCTATATAACGATGAATATACTTTTTCCATATGTTTTCCTTGAACAGGCCTTATTGCCCAACCGTTCTAAAAAGACTCGTAACGTTTTTTATGTTCAAGAACAAAATTATTACCTAAATTACCATCATCGATACGTTGAATACATTCATCAGATCTTCCATCAGGTAGAAATTCAGTAGGACCCCGGATTTAGCTCTGTTACGTTATGAGAGAATCAATGCCCAAAAGTTCAACCAATTATCTTTTTTTCCGGCTTAAATAGCTCCGTGGGACTGAGAAGTGACAAAACCATTCACGTTTTAAGTTTTTACGTGTCTGTCCCAGAAAAAAAAAAAGCAAGTATTTCTATTACAAAGCCACATACTTGTAAGATCTTATTCTTGTTATTAATAATAAACTGAACGCTGCTATATTCATGAAGGTATGAAGAAACTATAAAAAAGAAAAAATGTCCTGACAGCCAATGACCCAAAATTTTAAATTACAAATTACAGATCAGCCTGTAGCTTAAGGTAAATATAAACGCACACACACACAAAACATACTACACAGTTATGAGGTTTTAATCATGATAATCAGTTAAATATGTGTTACATCTCGAGGAAAGTAATTGTTTTCAATCAAGAAGAAGGCTTCATTTTCGTTGATGCCACTATCGTAATCTATAAAGAACGTCTTTCTTCCATTCAATGCGGATCACACAAGCCTCTTTCGAATGATCATTTTCAACTAATAAAGAAACTATTCACTAACAGTGAAATTTGAAACTGAACCCCTCTAGGCTGAATTGTGCGCAGACACTCAATTCTAACGAATACAGAGGGAAACGAGAGCGCTGAATCCTCATAAAAAATATATCTGTTTCTTATTAAACCACATGACGCCGCACCCACTGGGTAACAAATCTATTTTGAAGGACAGATGTCAAGGCAAAATCTTACAAGTAATAACTTTTCCCAGCCAGAGGAATGTGTGTGTGTGTGTGTGTGTGTGTGCACATCATTGCTGGGAAAAGGGGTAATATAGAATTATATGAATTACAATCCAACATAAAATTTTATCCGCGACGAATGGAAGTCACGTATGGCACTTTATATGTCTACTAGATGTCGCTAATAGCACTTTCAAGTAATTATAAATTCCGTATGAACACAATTTTACGTATTCGAAAACAATTTCAACATCACGAATGTCCAAACGTT